AATCTTTTAAAGCACTCCTTTAACGTCTGAACTGCTTGTGCTATGAAACCAATAGGGGGAAGGTAAAACAATAAGCTGTACTCACATAAATAATACCATTCTGTTTCATGAACTCACTATAGAAGGTCACAGGTGAGTGTTGTTCCATTGCCTGTCAATGCAGTGTCGGGCAGAGCATGGACTGAAAACACTTTGTTGTGATGGGGCCATCAATTGTCTCTGAATGAGCGTCCACAATTTCATGGACAATTCAGGAAAGCCATTTTTTTTATGGACAGGCTAAGGATGTGGTGAAACCATTCTTAGATTAGATTTGTTCGCTACCTTTTTGTCTATGTTGGTCACCAGACATACAACTGGGCATCTACATTATTTTGTATGTATTTAACCATTATCTGTAGACCATCAGTCACAGGGAGGGACAACCATTATGGTTCTCCAAAGGTTGAATCCAGGATAAGGTCATTCGCTTTCCATCTAACCCCTACTTGAACTAACACTTATAATAATCCAAGAATGGCCAACCATCAGCCATTGAGGCCCAACAATCTGATTACCTCAGCAGGTGAATTTACCAATGGCTTCTTCTCCTCTACTTGAAGTAGTCAGTAGTAATCAGTGAGGGTATTATTCGGTTGGCTGGAAAACCAGCAGACTGGCTCACAATGGTTGGCCTCATCTGCACTAGGTGATTGCGGTGTATGTTAGTCTAACGTCAATTTTTTCTTTCTTCTAATACAATGGATGCCACCCTCTTGGAAAGATGAACTGGCACATACTCAGTCTGTGCGAATGCTTCAACTCTTTTTATAATGTTCCTTTCATGGTATAAAGTGCACACTAGGCTTGTAAAAGTACCGGTAGGCTTCTTGATCGATGTGCTTCCTCAATTTAAAACCCCCGAGTGTGCCCAGTGCCTTCTTAAAAACTTCATAGTATCTTGGGATATAGTGCTGTACTTGAATTGTCGCCAATTCAGTTAGTTCTCTGAGCCAATCAGGGCCAATCATGATGACTGATAATGATACCACAAATCAGTCTCAAATGACCCTGGACATTTAAACTCCTCCTTGTCCCCTCTGAATATTTGTTGCATGCTTTGCCGCCGTCATGAGGTCCCTGTAGAATCTCAAGTGCTTTCTCGAAAATCAGGGATGGACACTCTCCCAACAGAAGGCACTGTACTGTATGCAGTCCTCATGAAACCTTCAGTAGCCTGTCTTAGAGCATGTTATCAAACACAACGTAAAAGTGCAAATCTGCCACAATATATTCTACGCTGGACCTACTGGAATGGCTGTGAACTTTGATATTGAACTACCAAGGGCTTCAGACCATGTAGTTCAGAGAACACTTCCTCATATGGTATATCGCACACACCAGAAAAGCCGAGTAGAATAGCGCTCTTCTTAACCTCATCTGTAATTCCATTAGCAATGTCCCAGTGTTCCAATCTCTCCCCATTCTCCTGATAAGCTTTTGTTCCCTACACAAATTAACTGACATTCCCAAACAACCCGCATTATCCAAACATATCCTCATGCATTGTCTAGAATCAGCTCCCTAAACAGGAATCTATCTCCCATTTATGTTCTAGTTTAATTTTGTGTACCAAAAACACTGGTTTCTTAGAAAGTGTAGTGTATTAAAGATACATTATACCAGTATGCACATGTTTGAATTGCATACTCTCATATCTCTCTCAAATGATTAAAATAAAAATTAAACATCAACATTTCTGCTGTTCTCTAACTTTGTTAGCCGGGTCATAATGCTCTGGTCATCTCGCTGAATCTACATCTACGCAATGCATCACTAAGGTTACATGGGGGTTGTTTTCTATGGTTCAGCTCTATGACGATGGCCAATTTGTTAGTAAGTTACATCCAAGGGCTATAATCCAAACAAAGCAGATGATGAAAGAGAAAAGATACAAGCACCATTCGCAACTGATACTTCTGGGAAAATATCACCAAGTGGATACATCCTAGAGTATTTTCAGCAAATTAGATAATTATAATAACTAGAAGACATGCATTTCACTTCTCTTGCAAGACGCTGAATGCTGGGCTAGCAGCTCTTTGGGTCTGTGTACCATTTCTTGAATTCCTGTTTGGCTCACAGATCAATAGGGAGAAGAGGGCAGAGTCTGAATAGAATGACTGCAGAGTGGGCTTTTCATTTTGATATACTGGTGCTAAGGCCACAACACATGAGTAAAATCCTATTACATCACTTTTGGCAGCTTCTTTCTGATCATTCAAATTAATCAACGTCCAGTGATTCAGTTTTTATTTCAAATATGGGTGTTGGCAGGGCATTGTTCCAAATTAAAACACTCTTCGTTGAATCTGGAGAGCTGAAGGTTGTCAGCAGTTGTGTCACGACAGAAGTAGCTGACTGATGTTGGAAATATCAAGACATGATGGACTATAGCTCCCAGCCTGAGGGTAATGAACAGCTACTCTCAGCCTGGGATACTCTTTAAAACTTGCACCCACTCCAGTGCATTCACACTGTTAGACAATAGTGGGCTGTAGCCGACAAATATTTAAATACTGCAAGATAGTGTGTGGGAATCCTCGTCTAAAAAAGCTGCCAATACTGATGTATAAATCAGAAAATAACTTGATCTAGAAAACTAAATTTGAACAATTCCTCTTCCATTTCCTTAAATATATCCTGACAAATCACAGTCGTGTTATTGGGAGAAAGTGATGTATTTACGTAAATGCGTTGAAATATATAGTAAATAAGCATCTTTATCCAATCTTGTGCTGATTATTAATGCATTGTTCATGAATCATTGTGGACATGATGTTTATCGCAGTACGTTTTAAATTGTGTGATTCTATATAAAAAGGTAGCTTTTTTCATATCTGACGGCTATTTTTTCAACAAAAATGCGGCACAAAGATTGAGCCGTTCTGGGTTACATTTAGTCGTTTTTTCTGCTGCTTTGAATTGAAGAACTGGTGGACGACAAAAACTCTCAAGTCATTTATATTGGTTAAAATGGCTGTCAACTGTCATGAAAGCGCTACAGGAAATGCCTTTAGTGAGGCACAGTAAAGTGTGAATATGTCTTAGAAGGGACAAGAAATTGGCTGCCAATTGAAAATAATTAAATGTGGACATTTCACAACGGCTGTTGAGCATCTGAAAGAGTTGTGAGAGAGACATCTATTTGCTGCTTGCTCTTATATCTTTCACTGAAGATATGAAGCAACTCTGGAATGGCAGCAGTCGAAAACACAGAAGGAAGATGTAACCTCAACTATAACTTTTTTTTACAATGGCTAACATCAGGCTAACATATTTTGGCACATACGCCTTCATCAGAGCATCTGTTTTTGGCAGAGCACCCGACCAGAGGAAGGTTATCTGAGGAGGCACACCTGCTATATGTGTTTCACTGCTCCCTCTCATTCTCATCAAGTGTGAGGTAGGCGCTAACTGGCTCCTTAAGAAAGGATACTGGTGAGAAGTATCAGCTTAATAGTTATTCATGTGATTGCATCTGTTAAATATATTAATAAACAAACAGATTACAAAATGTATATACATGTACTTGGACTTATTCAGAATATTCTTATAATACATACAATTAATTATTTAGCATTACAGAAAAAGTCAACCTGCCAAAGTGAATTAAATATGGGAAGTTCTTCGGGCGTTGACCATCACCATGTATCATGTAAACATCATGTGATTTTGTTTATTGTAGAATGGCTTTTATACATCAGTTGACTGCATTGCATGTTCAGATATGTTGTGGGTGAGTTGTGCCACATTATCTTTATCCACCATTCTTCATTTTTTAATACATTGAAAGATATATTTTTGACTTCTGAATAATATTTAAAGCCATTCTGGTTTAACACAGGAATACAAGCATAGTGGTTTTCAGCATGTTTTTCTATTTCCTTTTACGCCTTCTTTTTTCTTTTGGCCATGAAACACTGGAGCAGATTTGAGTGGCGACAGACAAACTGTTGTGTTACTTGCTCTCATTAAATTAACATCACACTCTGTTAACATGCCCTGGAAGTAAAATGCTTCCTTTGTTCTTTGTTTTTGGAAGCAGCCATAAGCTTTTCTGAACACAACGTTTTTTTTCAAATCTGTACAGCAGGAATAATAAAGCTGGTGCTGAAATGAAAAGGTACAATCATACTTTATTCAATTAGAGCCATCACTGTGGCTGTCAGTCAGCGGTGAGTTATGACATCTTCAGTGAGTGGCTTTGCTCAGACTGGGCCCCAGATGTTATTGTCAGAGCAATGAAACAGGAAACATCTTCTTTGAATCCTCCTATACGTTTTAGGTTCAGGCCATACATACTTTGCAACAAGAAATATTCCCTATACCTTTATTTCTGAAATTGAAGTAGCCTGATTATTATCTCTCTGCAATAAACCAGAATGCTGTTGAGAAATCTAACCAGTTTTATATTGCTAAACATTTATTGTGGTTAAATAGTTTCAGTAAAACAATCAACCCAAATGACATACCCTAATGACTCGTCCCCCACGCCTTCTATTTTCAGCAATTATCAAAATAACCATTATTCTAAAGAGCGGATGTACAAGTTGCACAATTTCTAATAAAAGTTAATGGGGCAAGAGTGTTTTCTGCAAATCTGCAAATCAAATGCTCGGAAACATCGCTACATAACACAAAGACTCAATAAAACACCTCCAATTAGAAAAGTGATGAAGAAACGTTACATTTACCATATCTGGGTTTTAAAAACGTAGTGTTTGATTGCTCTTCTCCGTGTGTGCCCTACTTCTTGAGGAGCAGCCATCTTCCATATGTGAATAGATGCATAGTAATGACATGGTAGCAGTCACATCAAAGCTGTTCCCTTATATTTTGCCACAGGCCCGCTCGTCGACAGATTTCAGAGGAATGACTCGTGAATATCGCCGTGCACACACCTCGCCTTGCACTCGCCCTGGAGCAAACGGGAACCCAGAAACAGATGCAACACGTACCTCCAAAATCAGGCCTCAATCGGATGTCATATCCCTTCAGCAACTTGTCCACGGTGGTCTTGGCCACAGACATTCCGGTGCTTCCCGTGGAAGAGCTGGGGGGCAGAAAATAACAAAGCGTTAGAGCCATTTTAAGATGTGTGGTGGGAAAAAAACTGCAAAAACACATATTGTTTTTACAGCAAACGTACTGTACTCTCAAATATTACTGCACATACTCTCGGTTCTCTACATTAATGACGCCACCTTAAAAGTAGAAGCCTTGTGGTGAGGCACAGTGAAAGAGGAATAACACTTGGGATTAATTGAACAGCACCCAAAACATACATAATAGAAATAAATGTGTCCTATTGTGTCTTTTGCATTAGTCAACTACAATCATTTCCATTCCGGGCTGCCACAGCATGAATACACATTGACACTGTGAAGCCTTTTAGCTGGGAGAGGTGTTCTCTGTTTGTATGTTGCAGTCAGTTGTCAGACAAATAAATGAAAAGCATGCTGACTGTGGTGTTGTCATGGTGAAGGTTATAAAAATGTGCCTTTGGTTTGCATTTTCCTCCCCATTGTATCCCAGCATCTAATCAGTTGAGGGGCTGTGATGATGATACAGCTGTCAAGTGTTTCATTGATGTCGCTCTTTCATAAAGAGACGTTGAAACGGAACAATGCCATGTTTTTTCCCACAGAACCAAGTCTGATTCGTGGGCATGTATTTAAATAAGCTCTGTGTTATAACAGAGGCTTGGTTGGTCTGAGCCTGGGCCGCAGACAGACTATCCCCAGGAGGGATGTATAGTCCGCACTCGTCTGACTGACACTTATAACATTGGTGCCACGACCTGCATCACCTGACCAGACCGGCTCTCCAGCTGAGGCTCCTTGTTACGGATGAGGGTGTGGATTGGAATCAGTGTATGAGGGGGGGGAGTCAGGCTCAGTCAGGGAAGCACTGTTCAATTAGCTCATGGGCAGTGCAGCTGTTCATCAAGCCGGCAGGTTACAGGACTTGTGGGTTTGACACCTGAGAGCGTCATTAGGAGGGGGAATATCAATGACACCTGATACCAGATTACGCCCCTTTCATTTGTTATTCCGGGTTATTAAAATGGGATCAGAAAAGTGCGACCCAGTTCCCAGTGAGCATCTAGATCTCATAAGTGAGGCTGTAGGTTACTGCAGCCAAGGAAAATGAGTAGGCCACGAGGGACATCAGCGCCATGTAGCATCAAAACAATAAAGCGATTGATCTGGAGACTGTGATGGTGTTCATGCAGTAATTCATACTGTAAACATTTCAAATGGATGAGAGCTTATTTATTGAAACGTTATATCTCACACCCTCCTCTGTCTTGAAAGCAACAGCTGCAGATGACCTGCTGGGATTATTTTTCAATTTGATTGATTTGGTTCTGGTCAATAAAATGGGGAATTAAAAAGATTATAGGAGGTGGAATATTACTTATGGAGACAAATGCAATACGTAGATTCCAGAGTGTTGCTGCTGCACTGTAGACTCATACCTCAAGCTGCTTAACCGGAGTAATCAATCGATCCCCGGCTGATTGATCGGCTAATCATCGGCCAACAGCAGCCTACAGAGGGCTGTCCTTTTAAGCAGAATCAAACCAAAAGTCGCCCTTTCAATATCCCCATTTTGATATCGGGAGTAGGTTACGTTTTCACAATAGGCTTGCAACCGTGCACGCGCATGTTTTTACGCTCGCGCGGGCCACAGCACCATCTAATAGGGCATATATCGGCAGCAATGCCCCTAATAAGTAGGCCTGAGTGGGTACCCCGTTAATGCGATTTGCCACATCTCAGCCTTTTATTGACTGGTAATGACATCTGTTGGTGTGAAAGCTTTTTTAAATAATTTTTTTCTCAAACGACGTTTTTCTTACCTTTGAACAAAGCAGAAGAAGGACAAAGCCGCCAGAGCAGAGAAAATTCCACATATTTTATCTTCTTGACGACCCAACATCTCCACAAATCCTTATATATAGTTTCTATAATCCAACCAGTCCAGTGGTCCTCCAGAAAATGCACAAAGTAAAAATTGGCAATTAAAATATAATTGCCTTTTTTTTAAATGTCGAATAATCTACCCTACATCTACGCATGCGATGTCTTCATTAAAATAGGGTTCTTGATTTAAAAAAAATCTCGTAATTGGCCCCCGCTGTTTTCCTCGGCTATGGAAATCCGTGCAGGTCACAGAGCCCCTCGACCAACACCAGAAGATCAGACATCTTGCTTAAAAAACAGCATACACAATACTTTTAAAAGTGATGACAAGTATTCTTCCTCTTAAAAAAACAAACACTGGCATGAATGACTGAGCAGCAGCCTCCCGATGATCAAATTGGTGGATGAAATTTCCCAGTCCAAATCTGCAGAAGAGGCATGGTTCCAGCGATGCTCCGGCGCCAGACTATTCCACAACGTGATGTTGTTAAAAGATATTTGTTTGAGCTGGAAACGCTGGTCGTCTGAAGGGGAGCGGTGGGTTTAAAAAAAAGAAAAATGAAATCTTCATTCCCTTTTTTTTTCTCTCTCTCTCCCCCGTTGCTGCTGCTGCTGATGATGTACATCAGCGCAAAGTCACTGAGGGGAAATGCACATTGAAAAAGCACTGGGTAATATCTGATGCAGACGTCAGAGAAGGCTATATCACTCCTCTGGTGGAAAAAAAATTAGATGCCGAGAAATATGGATGGTCCCTTATACGCCGATGCATGTATCACAGCGTCAGATTTCATATCAAAGATGCAAAAGCTTTTTGAAAAAGTCCACTTGCCTCCGCTGGCGCAGCCCAACGTTAAATGGCGTTTCAACACGTTAACGCGGTCCGCTCCGCTTCTCCTCCAAACAGCGCACACATGACAGACATTCAACAGTCCGGAGAGACATGATGAGGAAAGCTTGTCTCCTTTCGATTTTTGTTGTTGTTGTTGAAATTAAAATGATCTCCTACCGGGGGAGTAAAGGGGGACACCTAAGGTGAATTCCTTAGCGACAAGCTGTTCATGCGCTGTCTATTCTCTCTAAAACACATAAGGGTGTTAGGACTGAGTCTTTTAATTCATTTCTTCCACTTTTGTACAATGTTGGAAACCATGCACCCTGAGAGAGACACGCACCTCTATCATGCCACATCATGAATACGCGCAATATTTTAGTTACTTATTGAATTCCTTAGAACAAACCAGCCGTTTCTTTGTTTGTTTTTTGTAACATAAACATGCTTACTGGAAACACACAATGCAATAATCACACAAGCTTGGTGTTTTATACAGAGGAGGAGGTTTTCTTCAGGGATCTCTGTGCTGTCCAGTTGCTAAGCAACCCATCCAGCACTGATGCAGTTGTGGTGATTCGAAGGCTATGCGCAAAGGCTCATTTAAAGGAGTAGACCCAATGCTGTCACCACTGGGGTGTCAGTGGGACAAAAGCAGACAGCAACTGATGTACCATGGAACCATTTCTGTTATGATAGGAGGAGAGGGAGGGGGGCAACAGTAATACATGTAAAAGAAATGTTGCGTGCCAGGGGTATCACTGCTTTTGCTTCATCATCATTGTCCTGTTTCTCATTATCATCCTCATTAACATCACTGTCAGGGACACTGTGATGAAAAAGTCAATCAGTCTAAAGTCTGAGATTTGTTCCTAGTTACACAACAGGTTATTTTAGCTTTGAAATATTCTTTGATGGCACCCTGAGACATGAGAACAAAAATCTTTTTTTCTCCAACATGTAATATTTCACCCCACTGAAACACAGGTATTGAATCAGAAAATATGGAAACATGACAATTGAGTTTTCCTGGTGATGTCACCCATATATGAATGTCAACTTGTCTACAAAACAAGTAGAAGAATATACATTTGTATGTTGGCTTTGTGATGCAGCTTTGGAAGAGATATGTCCTAGAACGGCATTTAACCCCACGATCATTAGACTGACATAATCCAGCATACAAAAAAGAAAAAGAGATGGCATTTAATTTATGTACATTACCTCAAAGTGCACACTAGTGCTGACCATGACCGGGCACTGAAGGGTGAACTAAGCATGAGATGATCTGCGAGGCAGACTTTTACAGTTCATACTTGTTGCATCACAGGAAATAATTGTATTTATTGTTTGATGGTTGTAAATCTATTGCAAAGTATTATAAATGATATCAGTAAATTGTGTGTGAAAGTTCAGCTGTGACATAACGGATGATTGTTTGATATAAAACTAAACAAAAAAACTATTTGCTAAAGAAGAAAATAAATGTATAACAATGGAATGTGATACTAACAATAAAATAGCATTTATCTTAATATGAATTTATCAAATTGTAAAGTTAACCTGAATTGGTTCATCCCACAAGACATTGATAATTTTGTATATAGAATGTACGGTGGCCAACAGGAGAAAACACGCTACAACAGTCACATTAGGATAAATGCGATACACTCTCAAAAACAATGCAAATATAAACACACAGATATGCTAAAACACATGTGCAGCATTTATAAAACATTCACTAACTTCACAAAACACGTGCAGTGTTTACTAAAAGTGCTTCATAAACGAAATGCTGCAAAAAAATAATACTGCAAATACAAAAGCACTGGGAGAAGCTCAAAACACAGCACAAAAGTTTCCCAAAAAGTATATCTTTGGATTTCTCTTTCTGTTACAAACATCTTTGACTTATCTGTCTTGAAGTGAATGTTTCAGTACGCAAACAACAACTTTAAATAGTTTAGCTCGACGAGATTAGAAAAATGTGCCACTGTTGCTGGTATCGCACAGAAAAGTTAATGTGCTAAGTTGAATTCAGTGTTTAGGATTTCCTGTACTAAGGTAAGGATACATTAAAATCAGATAATATTCTTTAAATTAGTATTTTCTTCTGTAAAACCCCCCAAATAATCCTAATTTAAGATTGAACATGGTTTGTTTCTGTAATTGGGCCCATGATGCCAGAAGATATGCTACCTTCTACCTTTATTTCAAATTAGTTTAATAGTAGATCAAGGCCAACATATTTCTTATCAGTGTAAGATTATGTAGAAAGTTAATTAGTGAATCTTGAGTTCTTAAGAGACTACTTGCTCCTAATGCTTTGCCTGCGACCCAAAACACATTTGCTGATTGGTCCTCTTCCTACTTTTAGAGTGTGAGTCTAAAGTTAAAATCTGATTGGTTACGACCACGCCGGTTAGAAGTATGAGCTTTCTGTGCAGCAAAAGGTACAAGGGTTCTTCAGAGAGCAGTATCCTTGTCGGTTTAATTACGTTTTATTGTCTACAACCACCAAGGACATCATTTCAAGTCCTTACAGAATATTTGCAATACTGAATGAACTACTTAAAATCCTCACATTAAAAAAGCGTAAAAGGGAGGGGGGGCTGAAATGTTAAGAAGAGCAAGGAAGGGTCTATTTTTCCTATTCATCAGATTAAGATTAGTTATTTTCTTGTAGGATTTAATGTGGGGGGGCTCAGTGGAACACAAAGTTGCATTTGACCATAAATGCAGGGTCAATAATCACATTATTTTAAAGGTGCCAGTAACAATAATTGTGAGTTTGAGAACAGTATGGGTGAACCTTTAACTAGGGATTTAATATTATCACTCTAAAGATTGAGTCCTTTTTTTTAAAACTATAAACAGCAGCCTTCACTGTATCCTGCCTTACAATAAAGTTATATTAATAATAAAGTATTATATTATCAAACACATAAAATATAATATGATCTTTCACAGCACACAACCTGTTCTGCTAATGGGTTAATTGAACATATTACAGAGTTCAAGCCCCTTAGCAACCACATAGCTCCAACCTTCATTCCGTTCTCTAATTCAGTCACTATTATAAGAACAAAAAAAAACTGTGACTGAATAGAAAAATATGAATTGAGCAGCTCTAAAATGCTTGGTCAACAAGAAACACCCTTTGTTGTGTGTACCATAATTCTGGTGAGTGGTAATTCCTATGCAAATGTGATGGTTGCATTATCATATTATGCTTTAAATTAGGTTTGAGTTGAGAAATTATGGGGGAGAGTTTTACATTTTTCATAAGACAAGAGGAGGGTCCAGACCAAACATTAATGGCATGTGCATTCAGGTGCTTTTTGACGGTCCCATTTTCAGAGTTGAAGTTAGTTTGAAGATGAAATGTAAAGACACCATGGACAGTACAAACAAGATGTGATTTGTATTTAATTGCTAAAAGCCTACTACTAAACCTAAATCAGTGGGCTTTCACCTTTGAATCAGGGGGTAGATACTTAACTAGTATGTCTGATGTGGTGGTTGGTAGTATAGGAGCCCCACAGGGGACTGTGCTGTCTCCTTTCCTGTTCACCTTATACACCTCTGACTTCCAATACAACTCAGAGTCATGCCACCTGCAGAAGTTTTTGGATGACTCTACAGTGTTAGGGTGTATAAGGGATGGACGGGAAGAGGAGTACAGAGCGCTGGTGGGTGATTTTGTAGAGTGGACTGGAGGAAATTATCTGCTTCTGAATGTGGCCAAGACCAGAGAGATGTTCATTGATTTCAGGAGGAAGAGAATGTCTCCTCTGCCCCTGTGCATTCTGGGAGAGGATGTGGCTATTGTGGAGGACTAGAAGTACCTGAGAGTGCACTTAGACAATGGGCTGAACTGGAGGATCAACACTGACGCTGTGTACAAGAAGGGGATGAGCAGACTCTATTTTCTGAGGAAGCTGAGATCCTTCAACGTATGCAGCAAGATGCTGGAGATCTTCTACCAGTCTGTTGTGGCCAGTGTACTCTTCTTTGCTGCGGTCTGCTGGGGGGGGCAGTATCAGAGCCGGTGACACCAGCAGGATCAATAAACTGATCAGGAAAGCTGGGTCTGTCATCGGCATCAAGCTGGACCCCTTTGAAGCTGTGGTGGAGAGGAGGACACTGAACAGGCTGTTGTCCATCATGGATAACCCACCCATCCTCTCCACCTGCAGCTGGACAGTCAACGGAGCTCCTTCTCCAACAGACTGCTGCAGCTCCGCTGTCACAAGGACCGATACAGGAACACATTCCTGCCCACTGCAATAACTCTGTACAATAAATCACCTCTGGCTGGAAGAGAACTCTGCTCCTTCTCTTGTAATAAAACCACGTTGTACATTTTACATATAATCTGTTCAATATTATATATTTAATATTCCATATGTCATATATTTATGTATATATATATTTGTATATATAATATCTACATATTTTCTTTCTATTCTTGTTTATTTCTATTTATTGTAAAATGCCTTGTCTCTTATGCTGCTGCAACAAAAACAATTTCCCAAATTGGGATCAATAAAGTACCATCTTATCTTATCTTATCTTAGATTGGTTTTCAGAATGGGATTTAGTGATTTAAATGCAAATTATTCACCAGGCAATTTAAGAAAAAAAATAGCTCGACGTACTCTGATTTTTTAAATAATTTTATTAATACATAGGTGCCAAGGCAACGGTAATTGTGTGCTGGATAATTGCTGAAAAAGCAGACTAGTCCATAAATGTATTCTTTGAAGAGAGTCCATCTCCCCTATGTTATGGTATAAGAGAAGAGCAGTGTCAGTACAGTACAGCAATGGAGTCCAATATGGAGTTAGAACCTGTTTGGCACCATGTTGGATCCCCCTATATCTGTGAATGTTCAGTCTGTGTTTCCCGCCATTAACTTAAAAATAACTCCCTGATTATTGCAATTATCTTTAATCGACATCTATGACAAGGAGATCCAAGCCCCTGAGATGTGTATCTCCCATGCTCTTTTCTGCTCCATTCATATGTTGCATAACACATGTGAGTTACTGGGTCACCCTTGCTCCTATGATATAAATAGTATCACATGGTTAATGCATTGGTGCCTTCCAGTCACTCCCTGTTCTTCCTACTGTTCATATCTGTCAAACACCCCAACACCCCA